GCCTCCAAAGCAATACAGAGAAATCCTGTCTCAAAAAACCAAAAAGAAAAACCAACCAAACAAAAAAAAAAAAAGTAAAATGTGTACATATAAGCTTTTTCTCTTTTTTCCTAGAAATAACACTGACAGAACTTTGAAAGCAAGAATTTGTAATTTTTAGCAGGGCATTGGATGCACATGCATTTAAACCCAATACTCGGGAAGTAGAGGCAGGTGGATCTCTATGAGTTCAAGGCCAGCCTGGTCTACAGAGTGAGTTCCATGACAGGCTCCAAAACTATACAGAGAAACCCCAGGCAGGCAGACCTTTGAGTTCAAGACCAGCCTAGTCTCCATAGTGTTCTAGGCCACTATGAGATCATCTCAAAAGAACACAAACAAAAATGACTCATCTGATTAAATTATCAAAACCAAGATATTTTTAAGTCATTGTACAGATATCATCACAAAAGACAATAGGACAGTAGCTCCTAACAACCTGCTTCATAATATTCAGTTTTCTACTGAACTGCCAATTAATGGCATGGCAACTACCAATCCCAAATATTCTTTTCCTTTTGCCTGCAATCCAGTCAATTCCTGACCCACCTGTTCATCTATCTCTTTGTGTATCTGCTTTCATCAGACCACAAAACATGAATGCAGCGTGTACCCCTGCAGTGGTTACCCCTGTGCAGGCTGATCTGTAAGAACTCACGTGACAAAAGCAACTAAACTGCACTTGGTCTTCATCACTTTTCAGTGGTCAAAGGCCCCATCCTTGACAATTATGTAGCTAGATAATTGGTGAGAGCTTGGTAGTCTACAAATTCTGCCATAACCCAAACTCAAACTTTATCTGACATACGTAGCATTCTTGTTTGACAGGTATCTTTTTAGTTAGAAGGTATAAATCTGAATTGTGTATGCTAAACACACACACTGTGCCTTTGAGTAGTTGCCATGGAGTCCAAAAGAATCAGATCTACCTGGAGCTGCAGCTATATGGCAGTTGTTGGCCACCCTAACAAGGGTGCTGGATCTTCTAAAACAGCAGGATATGGCACTCTTAAAACCACAGAGTCATCTTCCCAGCCCATGCAACCAGCTTTTTTACATAGGTTCCAGAGTTCAAACTCATGTCAAGTTTACACAGCAAACACTTCACTGAACCATCTCTCCACCTCTATTTTTTTAATGTTTATTCATTTTGTATGTATGGGGGTTCTGCCTACATGTAGGTCTGTTCACATGTATGCAGTGCCCACAGGGACAAGAAGGTGTTGGATCCCTGGGACTGGAGTTACAGATGCTTGTGAGCTGCTATGCACTTGTTGAGAATTGAGCCCAGGTCCTCTGGAAGAGCAGTCAGTGTTCTTAACCACGGAGCCATCTCTCCAGTCCCCTAATTTTGTTTTTGACTAGAGAAAAAAACACAAGCACTAGTCTAGATGCCAATGCTTTAGCAGCTCAACAGGAGTAAACCAGAGGTGTCCATGCTGGAGATCAGCGCAGGGACTCAGGAAATGGTTGAGGTTCAAGAAATGGGATAAAGAAGTTTATGTCATAGATGGGACTCAGTACATGTGATAAGGGAACATAGAAAGCTTAAGTCCACAAACAGCATTAAAGGACACTAGTGCATCTGGGCATGGTGGCACACACCTTCAATCCAGTACTCAGGAGACAGGCGGGTGGATCTCTGAGTTTGAGGGCTGCCTGGTCTACAGAGCAAGTCCCAGGACAGCCAGGGGTGTTACACAGACAAACCTTGTCTCAAAAAAAAAAAAAAAAAAAAACACCTAGAGGGCTGGAACAGAGTGGATTAGATAACAACTGAGCATGGACACGGCCAATGTACACTCCCTGGCCAGCCAGAGCATTTCCTTCCTACATGAAGGAAGAGCTTCTCTTTGCTAGGACCCTACCCTCTCCAAGCCTTGCTCTCCCAGAAAGGTCCCTTTTGTCCCTGAATGTGGTATTATCTGGGTTCCACCTTCACTGTGGTTTCT